ACCACATGTAACTGTGGTTCTAGAGAAAATGAGATTAAAGCACGAAAGGATTAAACAGAGCATAGAAAGAAATTTAAGGAGATAGATAACTTTGATGATGGGGAAAGAAAAACACCACTCAAATGTAGGCCAGAACCTCAGGAAATGGTGTGTGTTTGTGTACATCTTTCTGTGTGTTTGTGAGTTTTGGTTTTGTTTTTTGTTTTTTTTTCCACTGAATTTGCAGTGTTTCCAACATGAGTCATTGCTTCTGGGCTTCTCCCAGTGGGCACAATGTGGTCTCCCAACCTGGCTTTGTTGGGCATCTGGGGGTACAGACCTGAGGGTGGTGGGGAAGAGATTCAGAACCTACCCTTAGGAACCTCTACTTTTGGGGAGGTAGTCTTGAGCATGGAAAAGGTGTGTATTTGGAGAAGTAGGGGTGTTTGTGGGAGACTTCCTCAGAAAGCAACAGGGACCTGTTTGGGGAAGGCTTATGGACACCAGCACTGTGGACAGAGAACAGCAATGGCCTTATTCTCAGGTCAGCCCCCTCTGGCTTGGCATCTCCAGGAATACCTGGTAGGCTCTAGAGGAGGGCTCTCTCTTCCCTCACTTCCCCCCACCCCCTTAAAGCTTCTTTCTCTCAATCCATTTTCCACTCCATGTTTCATCCCAGCCAGGAATTCTGTCTTCATCTTTTCCTTTCTCCCTTCCCCCATCCTGTCTGACCCAGAAGGGGTGACAGCCCTCAACCCCACTCTTAGGTTGTGTTGTGACTGGCAGGAGCTGGGGTGATGATGGCGGAAGTGGTGTTAGGAGGGAATAGAGAGGAAGGGAGAGGTGACAGGAATCTGGGGATCTAGACTGTCAGGTGAAGAAACAGAGGTCCATTGGGAGATTGCCAAGATCCTGGGGTGGGGGGTGGGTGTGAAGGCGCCAACCTGTATCTGTCACCTGAAATCTAGGCAGACAGCATAGAGGCAGAGAGGACTATAGAATGTATGGATTGTAGAAGGGACATAAGAGATAACGTAGTCCAATCCTTTTATTTTGCAGAAGAGGAAACTGAGGCTCTTTGTGAACTCCTTGAAAGCAAGAACTGTCTTTGACCATTTTTGTATCTCAGTGCTTAGCACAATGCCTGGCACATAGCAAGGACTTAATACATGTTTATCGACTGATTAAATGACAGAGTTTACAAAAAGAGTTAGAATTGGGTTTGAGGGTCCTGACTTCCAGGAGTCCAGGGCTTTTTTTTTTTCTTTTTTTTTTACTACACCTCAGCTGCCTCTTTAGGGCTGGTGGATGAATCAATCAACACCTTGGACAGAGTGTCCCCTGTGGGCAGAGCTGTGCTGAACTCTGGGGCCAGGAAGAGTAACAGTCTCTACCCTGTGGAGGTTCCAGTCTGACTTGGGAGACAAGGCAGGTACTCAGGATATCAGACTGAGATGCTGAAGCAAGAGTCCAAATCGTGTCCTAAGAGTGCTCAGGGGAGGAAGCAGGCCTTGAGGGTACAGAGGCAAAGAGAGAGGACTGTCTCCCTCCTGTTTGCCACCCATTTCACCCTGGGCCTCACCTTTTCCACCTGTGCCTCACCTTTCATACTAGAAGGGATCATAAGATGAGAGTTGTAAGGGATCTTTGAGTTCATCTAGTTTATCACCTTCATTTTTTCCCCTTAATTTTTATTTATTTATTTTTAACATTCATTTAAAATTTTTTTTGAGTTCCAAATTCTCTTTCTCTTTGCCCCTCCCTCACCTATTGAGAAAAGCAAGCAATAGGATATCAATTGCAGAATATATACGCAGAATATATATCTCCTTAATTTTTTAACCAGTAGGGAAAAGGAGAAATTGAGTGATTTACCCAAGGTCACAGAGTTAACAGATAGTGGAGACAGGATTGGAGGCGGGCTCTTCTGAAAGAAGCCCAGTCCTCTTTACAATACTCTATATACTGCCTGGGACCAGGAAGCACTCGGGTAGACTCTTCCTGGCAGCAGAATTCCCTGGGGACAGGGCTGGTTTCCTTTGAGGGCCCAGTCCGCTGTTTCCCCTTCCCCTGCAAGAAAATGAATTGAATGAGTTAAAAATAATGCTGCTGCGAGAGGGGGTGTTGTCCCTAACCAGCCCCAGGCTCCTCCACCAACCCAGCCTGGTTTTCAAACAAGTGAGCAGCTCAGTCATTCTTTGTCTCCGGTAGCCCAGCTTTTCCTGCCCTCTGAAGCCCTAACCTCATCCACTTCCCCTCCACTGTCCCCGCACCCCCCAACTGTTGATTGAAAATAGTTCAAGGGGCTCTAATCTTTGAGTTCATAAATTACTTTGCATCTATGATCTTGTTTTGTCCTCGCAACAGCCTGGTGAGCCAAATGTTATATTTATTATCAGACCCATTTTATAGATGAGGAAACTGAGACTCGGAAGTCCAGAATCACGCAGTGAACAACTGCCAACCCAGATCTTCTTGACTCAAGTCCAGCGGTCGGTCTATCCCCTCACTAGGTGCTGCCCCCCACCTCCACCCAGTGCCTCTTACCCCTGTGTACTTGAGATAACATGTTTGGTTTGTTTTCTCCCCTAGAACTTATTCACAAATTCACAAAGCAAATTCACAAAGAATATACCAGGGTGAGGGTATTAGAAATGAATATGGATGGTTCTGTCCAGCAAAGACTGGGTAGTGCCTAAGCTCTTTTTTCTTATGTAGCAACAGTTCCCCGGCTGAATTTGTAGTCATTCAGAGACAATGTTCTACAGTGGAAATCGCATTTGTCATAGGATCATAGACTGAAAGACAGAAGGGACCTTAGAGTCCTTTGGGTCTCACACCTTCATTTTGTGGTTGAGGAAACTGAGGCACAGAGAGTTTAAGTGACATGCATAAGGTCACCCAGTACAGTTAAGTGTCTGAGGCAGGATTTGAACCCAGATTGCGTGCCTTAATCCATTGAAAATTCGCACTCAAGTCTTGGCTCAGACATTTTTATGAGCTGTGTGATTCTGGTTCAGAGACAGTATGGTACACTGGGTAGAGGACTGGTCTTAGAATCAGGATGACTTAGATTCAAATTCTGTCTCAGATACGAGCTGTATGACCAGGAATGTCATTTAATTAATGACACTGCTGTTGTGATGGAGGGGGGGAAATCACAGATTCTTGACATTGGTGTGATCCTAAGTAAGTCATTTCACTCTCTCTGAGCCTCAGTTTCTCCATCTGTAAAATGGAAATAAGAATATTTACACTGCTTGTAAGAAAAGTGATATGTAAACCTTGAGAAGAACCATAGAAATGGAAGCTGTTATTTGTTAAATGATTCTCTTGGACTCTAGAACATTTTGGCCCTATCTGAGAACACCTTTAGTTTGTGCCAGGATTTTTTATAAAACCTTACAAGGCTCTTTGGTTCTCTCTTTCTCCTAATTCTTCCTCCCAGCAGTCCCCCATCCTGTGTTCCCATTCTTCCTAAGGGCTAAACTGTGTTTGTGTCCTCGGTAAAAATTCAGATCCCTCAGGTTCCAAAAAGACTTCATTTCCCTCACCTGGCCTCTCTCCCCATAATTTTTTTAGTTTATTATTTTTATTTTCAATTAAGTATTTAAAAAATTATCTATTCTCCTATCTCAGTTAAATTTAAAAAGAAAGCTCTCAATATATAGCTATATAGCCTGGGGAAAAAAAAAAAACCCAAACCTCCCACATTAGCTATCTTGGAAAATGTGTCTCTGCATTGTAAGTTCCTCACCTCACTGGGAGGAGGCGTGTCATGTTTCATCTGCATTTTTTTGGACTTGGGGTTGATCATTGTGTTGGTCAGAGTTCTAAAGTCTTTCAGATCTGCTTTTCTCTATAATGTTATTGTCATGGTATAAAATTGTTCTCCTCATTTTGTTCACATTCTCCATCAGTTCATAGAGTTCTTTCCAATTTCCTCTGAAGCTGTCCATTTCATTCTTTCTTATGGTGGAGTAACATTCCATTCATTCATATGCCATGTTGATTTTTTTTTTTAGTCATTTCTCAATAGGAGGACACACCTTTAGTTGCCAATTTTCGGCTACTATGAAAAGAACAGTTATAAATGTTTTTGTACTTATAGATCCATTTCCTCTTTCTATGACTTCTTTGAGGTATAGACTTAATGGAAGCATAGCAGGTTCAAAGGGCATATACACAGTTTGGTAACGTTCTGGGCAGGGTTCCAAATTGCTTTGTAGAATGGCTGAGGCAATTCACAGGTCTACCAACAGTGCACTGGGGTGTCTGTTTTTCTATGGCCCCTCTAGCATTTCTAAGTTTCCTCATTTGTCAACCTTGTCACTCTGATGGGTATGAGGTGGAACCTCAAATTTGCTTAAATATGCATTTCTCTAATTATTAGTGATTTAGAACATTTTTTTCGTATGATTTAGATAGCTTGGATTGCTTCCTCTGAAAACTATCCTTTGACCATTTGTCTAGTAGGGATCCCCATCATTTTTCCACGTTCCTAGACTGGCTCCTCTGCTTAAGTGTGATGTGTTAAATGTCATTTCCCATCTCTGAGCTTCAGTTTTCTCATTGGTAAAAGGAGGGAGCTGGATTAAGCGGTCTTTTATGCATGATCCCTTCCAGCCAAGGTGTGACTGGGAATTTTTTCAACTAGGGCAGATGTGGGCTCCCTAGGAGGAAGTGGGGAGTCTGATGGGGGATCATGAGCAGGGTACAGAGTTAAGGTACAGGGTCCAATTAAGGTTGCCGGGTACATGTCTGCTCTCTTCCTCTCTCTTGGTGCCTCTCATGGGGGCTGTGGCCAACCAAAGATTCAGAGTTGTAAGAAAGAGGTCTCTAGACCACTATGGGGAGGATGCAGCTGCCTACTCCCATGTTGAGGCCTGGGTCAGAGCTTTGTCTGCCCTTTCCAAATTACAGCTGTACCCCCAACTCTAAATCCTAATCATCCTATGATCATAGGTTATATATGCAAGGCCTTGGCAGGGCTATGTCCCTCATTTCTGCATGTTCCATAGGGTTAACTTGGCTCTGGCCTACACAGAACTGACAGAGGAACTGGGCCGTCTCCGGGAGCTAAGTTCCCTTCAGGGGAGAATTCTGAGGACATTGCTGCAGGAACAAGTCCAGAGGAGCGGTGAGCAGGGCCTGGGTGAGGATGATGTGGGGGAGGGAAGAAAGGTACAGGAGTAGAGTCTCTGCTAGGTTCTGAGGGGTCATGGCAACCATCCTGCAACATCTACCTACTTTAATGTCCTTCCTTGCATGCTGGGGTCCTTTCATTCCTCAAGGGTGGGAAGGCTGTCTCATTATAAAAACAAAGCTTTCCTGAGGTCTGACTTTCTCCTTATGCTCCCATTCCATCCTGTTTTCCCTTCCAGGCCAAAGACACTCCCCTCTTTCCCAGCGCCACTCCCCATCTTCACAGTGCCCTTCGCCATCCCCACCAGCCCGGGCTCCTCCGCCAGGACCTCAGTGTCAGTCCCCAGTTCCCCAGCGCCGCTCCCCTGTGCCCCCTGTTCCACCATGCCATTCACCCCAACAGCGCCGCTCCCCTGCCTCACCATCCTGTCCATCGCCTGCCCACCAGCGCCGCTCCCCTGTGCCCTTGCCGCCCCCACCACCATGCCAGTCTCCTGCCCCGCAGCACCGCTCTCCTGTGCACCCTCCCTGCCCAGCTCCCCAGCCTCGGCCCCCACCAGGGGAGAGGACTCTGGTGGAGCTGGCCTACGCCAAGCCACCCAGTCACCACGTGAAGGCTGGCTTCCAGGGGCGCCGTAGCTACTCAGAGATGGCCGATGGGGCGGGCTATGCAGGAGCTGTCCCCTGGCTTCAGGCTGAGGCCTCAACGCTGCCCAAGCCCCGACCCTATGGTGGGGAGCTCTACAGCCCCAGCCGGCCTCTCAGCCCCCGAAGCACCTTTGAAGGCATCCGGCTTCGGTTTGAGAAGCAGTCTTCAGAAGAAGAAGAGTGGGCTGTGCCTAGCCCCCCCAGCCCAGAGTCAGGCACCATCCGATGTGCCTCCTTCTGTGCTGGCTTCCCCATCCCTGAGACGCCCACTGCTGCCTACACCCACGCGGAACATGCCCAGTCCTGGCCATCCATTAATGTGAGTGAGGGCCTGGGGCCGCCATCTAGGCTCGGGGTGGATGGGGAGAGAGTAGTCACAGGGTAGTGGCAAGGGGTGGCAGAGTACCCCCTGCCCTCAAGTCCCCAGGACTTTGACAGACAAGGCCTGAGATTCCCACACCTTTCTGGGGAGCTTACACTTCTCATAATCCATCTACATACCCAATTCAAGGCATTTTTGACAACAAATATTTGAATGCCAGCTGTGTGCCAGGCACTGTACTAGGTACTTTAAAGAACAAAGATGAAAAATGCCACAGCCCCTGCCTTCGAGGACCTAACAGTGTGTCAGGGCTGGGGAGCAGCATATAACTCATTCATAAATAAGTAGAATACAGGTAATAGCAGCAAAGGAAAAATCCAGACCAAACATGAAGAATCTGCAGAGGGAGTGATCGATTTCAGCTGAAGAGGAATCAGGGCAGGCTTTCTGGAAAAGGTGGCACCTGAGTTGGGCCTTGGAAGAAGGAAATAAGCATGTGTTAAGTGCCTACTGTCTGCTAAGAGCTTTACAAATATCTCATTTTGTCTTCATGATAATTCTGGGAGGTGGGTGCTATTATTATCCTCATTTTACAATTGAGAAAATGAAAACAAACAGAGGTTAAGTGACTTGCCCAGGGTCACATAGCTAGGAAGTATCGGAGGCAGGATGATGTCATCAGTGGAAATAGGGGAGCTGGGATAAAGAGCCATTTTTTGGGGGACTGGGGAGGTGGGGAGAGAAGATTAATGAGTTAGTCAATAAACACTTATTAAGCACCTAATATATGCCAGTGTGTTTCATCGTTGAGGATACAAAGAGAAGTAAAAGGAAATTCTTGCCCTCAAGGAGATCACAATCTAATGGAAGGAGACAACATGTGAACAAGATATATGATATAATATGTAATTATAGAATATATAATATAATGTAATATATAATAAATTGAAAATAATCAATAATGGGGGATTGGGAAAGGCTTCCTGTGCAAGGTGGGATTTTAGCTGGGATAAGAAGTTCAGTTTTGGACTTGCTGAGTGTAAGATGTCTACAGGACATCCTAGTAGAGACGTCTAGCCTGGGGCATTCAAAATTGGATGTCAGGAGAGAGATTGGGGTTGGAATAATAGATTTGTGTCATCTGCTTAGAGATGATGATTGAAGCCATGGAAGAAAATAAAGCCATGGAGAGTGTGCGGAGAGAGAAGAGGAAGCTTAGGATAGAGACACCCTTATGGGGCAGGTGTAGGAGAATATGGAAAGAGACTGAGGAGGATGTCAGGAGACTGAGAGTAAAAGACAAAAATGAATCATCCCTGCCTTCAAGGAGCTTACATTCTACTGGAGGCATAAGATGTCTTAGTCAAGAGAACCAGTGGAGAGGAATATCATGAAAGCCAAGGGAGGAGAGAATAGCTAGAAGGAAGGCATTAACAGTGTAGAAAATGGCAGCTAAAATAGGAAGGATCAAAACTGAGAGGAAGACAGCGGAGCGTCAGCTGGCAGGGTTGGAGGTTGGGGAGGAGGAGAGAACTGATCCCCGTGCTCTTTATGACTCGAATTGAGCAAAAGGCATTTGTTAAAGTACCTCCTGTGTTCTAGGCACTGGGGATACAAAACAACAAAAAGAAAGTTTATGTTTTATATACATTTATTTTTATTTCTTAATATTTAATATTAACATATTAAATATTTAATCTAATTCAATATATTAATCATTTAATATTTAATGAATAATAAATTTAAATATTTAATATTTCTATTTATTTCTATAAATATATTTTATATTTTCCTACAAATTATATATATTTGTAGAAATATATTTATATATTTATGTGTATATATGTATACATTTATATTACATTATATGTATTATATTACATACACATATTTACATATTTATATATCATGAAATTTATGTTTTAGTATATGCTAGATAAGGGCTAGGGTGGGAACCAGAAGGAAGGAATAGGGAGAAAGAGGGAAAAGTATGATGGTTGGGGGTGGTGCAAGGAAAGGCCTCAGGAATGACTCCCTTCTTTTTCCCTCTCCCTCCAGTTGCTAATGGAGACTGTGGGTTCAGACATCCGAAGTTGCCCTCTCTGTCAGCTGGGATTTCCCGTTGGGTACCCAGACGATGCACTCATCAAACACATTGACTCGCACCTGGAGAACAGCAAGATATAGGGCGCTCCCCCCTTTCCCCCCTTGACCATTCATTCTCTCCCACCTCTCCAGGCTACCATTCCCCACTACTTTGAATGCTGCATGATTCTCGCAGGGTCTGTCCTCCCTTACCTCTCCTACTCCCAGATACCTCCACTAGCTTCCCACGAGTCTCACCATATGTGCTGTCTCCCTACTGTTCTGCCAGTCATCATTTAGCTCTGGCTCGCTCCAGGAGGAGGTGCCAAGATCCACTCCCTGCCCTGAACACTTCCTCTCTGGCTCCTTCCAGGGAAGTGGGGAACTGGGGTGGGATGGGTAAGGGCTGTCCATCCCCCTCTGAGTCTTTGTCTTCCTTCCTGTTCTCAAGTTGTGTTGGATACAGTAAAGTCTCCAGTATAGTTGGGCTAGTGGGGGGAGGGGCAGGGAAGGGGACTTGTGGACTCCAGGAGGCCCCACCCCACCCTGGAGATGTGTCTGTGATGTGTCGTAGCTCTGCCACACCCCACCCCGTCTTGGTCCTCCATGCCCCCTGCCATTCCAGGTCCTCAGCCCTGCCAGGCATTGATGCCAGATGCCAACTCTTCCCTATGCACTGAGTCTCCTGGAGTGGGGTTCCCAGGGGAGAAAATGCTAGATATAGCCACCCCCTCATCCCTCTCTTCCCACACACATTTGTCCATCCATCCATCCCAGGGCTACCTCTCCCTGCACCATTCCTCGAAACCCCTCCCCCCCCCAGCAGGGACTGGATGATTAACTTAAGAGACTGGAGTGAGGATTCTCTGCCCTTCCTACCACATTTGCCTGCCTTCCTGGGCCTGAGCAGAATATGGATCTGCCCTGACCTCCTCCTGGCCTTTTCCTCCCTTCCCAAATCAAGTATCCACCCGTGTGTGTGTGTGTGTGTGTGTGTGTGTGTGTGTGTGTGTGTGTGAGTGTGTGTAAGAGAAAGAGAGAGACAGAGAGACACAGAGAGAGAGAGAGAGTGAGGGAGTGAGTAGTGGTGGGGTTGCATTAGGAAGATTCCCAGGATGCTCCAGCTTAAGTTGGCAGGTTCCCCCACCCCCACCCCCACATGGGTACCATCTGTGTCAGCTTGCTGGCTTCAGGGGCTCATCTGTCTACCTGACTGAGTTCCTGGAACTTTCACCTCACATTGTGGGGCAGATCCTCCTCTTCTGTTGCCCAGACCCCATTACCACAAGTGCCCTGGGAACCCAGAAATGGCTGGTGCCAGGTCAGGCATGGGCATTGGCATTGCTTCCTGGGTGTCAGACCGGATTCCTGTAAAGTGGGTGGGTTGGTAGGCCCAAACTGTTCCCCAATGCCCAGGTGGGAGTGGGCAGGGGTGGGCACCTGGACCCAGCCCAACCCTGAGAATTGGCCAAGGGCAGGCCACTTAGATCTGCTTTAAAAAGAGCTAACTCCCTTTACTGCTCCCCATCCCCACCTCCCACCCACACTCCCTCTGTAAAATCTACCTCAGAGCTGATAAATCCCAGAAGGATAGGTATGAGGGGATGGGCTGGGGGGGAGGGGAAGACCCCCCTCCCCCAGGGCCAAGAAGGGGAACTCCCTACCAGTGAGAGCCCGGACCCCCAGTGATTAAACCAACTTCCCCTCTCCCCCCACAACCACCACCTGGTGGTCAGGGGAGGAAGAGTGCTGCTTTCAATGCATGTACAGTTCTGATTAAACTCTTCCAGAATCCCTTTGACCATCACAGCTCTCTCCGACACCTGGTCTCCTAACCCTCCACCTCTAAGTGTTGGGTGTGGATGCAGGAGGAAGGTGGGCTGCAAGAATTCCAGAGACACAAGGACCTGGCTGTATCATCTGGACCTGAAAGTTCCCCTAGAGGAGGGGAAGAGGCACAAGGGAGGAGGGAGAGGGGGGCCCTGTGCTCTGTGAAGAAAATAAAAGTCCAAATAAAAGTTACCTGTCCCATGTGCATGCCCCTGTTCCTTCCCCTTTAGGAGAAATATTGCCTTGGTTCCATACTCCCTCCTCTTTCCTTCTCCTCCCTCCCCTCCAACACAACTTAAAGCGGCACTTGAACGAGGCAGGCAAACTAGTTCTTGTGGATGGAGAGAGTGTCGTTCACAACAGTGAGATAATCCCCAAATTTTATGGTTTCCAAAAATTATCTGATTGACCTTAAAGGAAGCACGTGAATGAAAGTAGGGGAGGGGCATGGATTTTCTAAAATAGTAATAAAGAAAAAATATGAAGAATCTCAGAAATCCTTAATGCTTCTAGTTCTGATTGTCCAAATGTTGGTTTGGATCTCAATTTTGACAGCTTGTTGGCATAGTCAATTTGATTCAAGTCCTTTGTTGGCATCGTGCCCATTATCTGTAACTCTTCCTTAACCTCTCCCCTCCTCTTCCGTATTAATCAAGGGTGAGCAAGAACTGGAAGGGGGGACCTATAACATTCAAATCCTTTTTTCTTTGTCTGCCCCCGAGGATGGGGTAAGCCAGATAGTGAGTTAAGAGAAAGAGGGTGGGCAGCTTTGCTCAGGGTAGAGCTCTACATCTATCTGAGAGGTCAAATTGTTTATACTCAACCTGAAGTGGTAGAAAAGCTAAGAGGACTTCGACCACATGTCTCTTTGAAGCAGCTCTCCCCAAGGCAGCTACTCTTTTTGGTCTGAATCAGGGGTGTGGCTCCAGGGGAAAAAATTGCATGCAAAAATACTTTCAAGTTTAATTTGCTTGAACACTTTCTTAATTCTCGACAGTCAACAAAACAATCAATTGAGCCCTGATTTGTAGTCCTTCAGGATTTCTAAGGTGCAAATGCTCAGTGAAAATGTTAACATCTGGCTCTTGCAGGTTAGGGTTGGATCCAGCAAATCCTTGGTCTAAAGTGTCCTGAATCCCCAGGACATTGGACCCACCATCATCACAAATAAATCAAAATTGCATCCCTTGAACCAAAAAAAAAATGGATTTTTTGGATCATTTTGTTTTTTAGACTCATCTATGGGATAACACACCTCTATTGGGCCAGACTAGAGAGTTGATTTGTTGTCTACCTACACCCTCGGTAGGCACTAGGCTACATTTAACTTCCTTTGGTCCCATTCCAACCACTTTTCGGTTTAGCCACCTGGTTATGCTCCTGGACCTAGTAAGGCGGACAGTGGGGCTTACCAGATTTCATCCCAATACAGATGATAAGGAATTTGTTTAAATGAGCAGAGATTCAAATTAGAGAGCATTTATTATCTGCTGTGTGCCCTGTCACAGAAGCGCAGAATTTTAAGAATAGGAAGTGAACTCAGCAACCATCTAGAAAAAAACATACCTGAAAAGAATCCTAACTATAGCATGCCTCACGTGTGGTTATCCAGACTTTCAAAGAGAGGGACGCCACTCCATTCCAAACTGCTGTACCTTGGGAGAAAGACAAAGTTTAGATGTGATACAGTCCTTGGGGTCAAAGACCCATGACAAATAGCTCTCCTACTGAGGTTCCCTATGGCACGGACTCCAAGTCACCTTTGGTGGATTTTTCTTTGTTTTTTTTTGTTTTGCTTTTTTTTTTTTGGCTAAGAACCCCTCACCCCTCCAATTCTTCTTGAAAGAATCAGAGGACTTGGGTTCATTGATTGTGTGCTTTTGGGTAAGTCACATCCTCTCTGAGCCTCCTCTTCCTCATTTAAAAAATGAAGCTATTGAGACTAGGTGGCCTATAACATTCTTCCCAGTTCTTAGTATGTGAACCTATGAATGGTGCATTGTAGGGAGCTCTTTTTACATGAACGACCCAGAAAGGAGAACAAAGAAAACCCACAAATGGCTTTCTGTGATCCCCAAGACCACAGGATCCTCAAACAAGTGCCCCCTGGGAGTCACAAGCTCAGTGCTACAGGTCTGGTTGTAGCAAAGAATCTACCTCTCTAGGGTGCAGTTCATTTAAAGGTTCACTTTCCTCATCTTTCAGGTTCACCAGGGTTTCCCATGGGTTGCTCCCACTCAGGGCCCTGATTCTTAATTGTTCTCCCAACCTGCCCTGGACTCCATCCCAGCCCAGGAAAACCTTTCGCTCTGAACTTTTCCTCTTTGACATCGGATATCAATAGGAGGACCTCTCTTCCTTTTGGTCCTCTCCTCTACGGGGTCCTTTCTCACATCTTGCTAACAAATATTTGACACTTAATCACTGTCCCCCTTTGCTGAGATGGTATAAGCCAGCAAGGGATTTGAGTGGGATAGGACACAGCTTTCAGAAGCTCTTTTCAGGCTGGGGCTCTGTATCTTTTGGAGAGGTGATGCTATCTGGCCTCAATTTGGGGTGTAGGGAAGTATGAAATTCAGAACGTATACAATGTGGAAAGCCTGGCAGGCTCTGACACTTACTAGCTATGGAACGTTGAGTAAGTTAGTTCCCCTATCTGGGCCTTCGATTCCCTGTTAGAATGAGGGTGTTGTACTAGATTAGCTCTAAAATCTCATCCAGTGCTAAATCCTATGAGCCTATGACACTGTTAGGAGTTGCTCAGAGGCCGGATGTGACATCTGTCCTTGGGAGACTGTAATAAGACAAACTTGAGGCATAGAGAGCCCACCATCATTCCTCACAACTCACCTGAGTTTATATTATCTCTCTTCCCTTAACCTCCACCAACAAAGAATGTGATGTCTCTGAAAATTTTTCCACTTATAATAAAGGGTATGAACAATAAACTCATTGTGTCTAGTTGTATTCTTGAATAAGAATGTGTTTATTCCAAGAATAAAAGTTTATTGATTGATTGAGTAAATGCTCTCCATTCTATTGGTTTCTAAGCCTTCAATTGAAGCCCAATTTATGGCAGATATAAAAGATATTTAAAAATTAAGAACTTTTGTCTGGGTAAACTATTAATCGGGTCCAATTCTGAATTAATCTAACAGTCAATCAGGGAAGGGTCTATGAAGGAGGTGGCCCATTGCAACATCTCTATAGCCTCAGGTCAGCTCACCAGCTAAGGTTTGGTGAGATGCTGTTTTTTCCCTTCCATGCTTTGAGGGCTGTTGGGAAGACCCAAGAAGGACCTTTATTATCCACAGAAACAAAGATTTATTTGGTGTCTATTTCTTATTAGAAGACGCTGTCTAGGTATAGTGGGATATGCAAAGATGAATAAGAAAGAATGACAGAATCTACAAAATGCTTCCCCAGTCACAACCCCAAGAGGTAAGAAAGGCAAAGATTTTTGCTCCCATTGTACAGATGAGGAAACTGAATCTCTCAGAAGTGATTCACCCATGATCACACAACTAGAAAATGTCTAAGGCAGGATTCCAACATATGTGTCCTCACTTGCAATTCAGTTTTTCTATCCACCATGCCAAATTGCCTCTTGAATTTCTCTTCCATAAGACTCTTGTCATGAGTATCCAAAGAACCCTTTAGATACTAACATATGGCTCTCATATCTCTTTTCCACATTAAACATTGCTCGTTCTTTCAAGCCAGTTCTCATGTTGCATGCTCTGCAGTCACCTCACTATGCTGGTGACCCTTCTCTGGACTAGTTCCAGCTTCTCAATGCTCCAGCTTTTCCGACCCATGTTTTTCCTATTGCTCTGAAGGGAAAAGAGGGAAGGGCAGGAATAGGAGGCCAAGAACTCGATGACCTCATCCAAAGTCACAAAACCAAGAGGCACCTTGGATGGAATGCTGGTCATCTAGCTTCAAGCCCCAGCTCAGATATTTACTTGCTAAGTGATCATTAACGAAGTAACAATATCGCAGAGCCTTTTATCATCTGTAAAGTAGAAATAAACATGGTCTATAGTATAGTAGCTGCCTCAAACAGTGGTCAATAAGTAAGTTAGTCAAGTAAACATTGTTTACTATGTGCCCAGGCACAGTGCCAAACACTTGGGATACAAAGAAAGGCAATAGATAGTCCCTACCCTCAAAGAACTCATGATCTAATGGGAGACGACAAAACATAAAAAGAAAGTAAAAGGTGAGGAGGAGGAAGGAGGAAGAGAAGGTAGCTGGCTTGGAGAGCATGATGAAATGTGTGCCCTCGACTGCCTCATTAATAAATAGAGAATCTGAGAGGGTCTCCCTGCTGTCCACCTTTCATCATTTCCAATAAGAAGGTGGAAAGGGTCCTAGAAATGAAGGATACCGAGGAGGTATGGATTTCAGAGCTGATGTCATCTTGCAAGAAGATGAGTTTCTGGAGACAGTGAGGAAATCCAGGTTGAGCAGCCAGGTGAGAAATGATGAGGGCTCCAATGACATGCATGTAAGATATTTTTACAAATTTTTAGGCATCATATTATCATTATACATGGTAACAAAGTAGAGAGAACACTAGAACTGGAGTCAGAAAGATCCAACTTCAGAGTCTTACTAGCTGTGTGACCTTGGGCAAGTCACTTAATCTCACTCAGCCTCAGTTTTCTCATCTGTAAAATGGGGATAATAATAGCACCTACCTCCCAGGGTTGTGAGGATCAAACAAAATAGCATATGTAAAGTACTTTGCAAACTTAAAACTCTGTATCAATTCTGTTATTGTTGTTATTGTTATCCCAGTGAAACCATCTCCACACACAGGCTAAACCAGATTGAGGGTAAGTGAAAGACTTCAAACCCATCAGTGAGGTTTGTCTACCCCAAGCATGTGAAGACCTCTCCCAATGGAATTGGCAGAGGAGAACAATTTGTTCTAATGGCCATGAAGTAGGCTGAAGTGCTTGGAACTTGGTCGGGAATTAGACACCAATGTCATCCACTGCATCTCAGACTATCACCAGTCATTCTGACTTTTGTCTTGCCGCTGGACTTCGATGACTTTGGAAGAGAGTGAGGCTGATGACTTTGTGCAACTCTGCCTCACTTAAAACCAATTCATGTAGGAGTCAAGACATCACCCCCTGTGATGTTATTGGTCTTCTCCTAAAACAAAGGACAAACAATAACAACATTATCAATACTTCTGGTAGATCTACAGCGAATTCAAGATAACACGTCATATGTAAAATGGGCATGATTGTATCTATAATACTTATTGCACTAGATTATTGTGAGGAGCCAATAAGATGATGGATGCAAATCACTTTGCAAACCTTGAGTCCATATGGCCTGGCAGATAAAAATCAGTCTTTTTGTTGCCTAGCACTGGCTGTCCCCCATGCTCAAAAAGTGCTACCTACTACCTTCTCACCTCTGACTCCTAAGAATCCCAAGTCTTTAAGACTCAATGCAAGGGCTACCTTCTAATATGATGTCTTTTTTATTATTAATTTATTTTGATTTATCAACAATCACTTCCATATGTTTTTGAGTTTAAAATTTTTCTCCCCTTTCCTCCCCACCTCCCTCCCCAAGATGGCGCACAATCTGATATAGGCTATACATATACATTCCTATTAAACATATTTTCACATTAGTGATGTTGTAAGTAAGAATTAGAACCAATAGGAGGAACCATCAGAAAGAGGAAACAAAACACAACAGAAGAAAAAAAAATAGCAAACAGTATGCTTCGATCTGCATTCAAACTCCATAGTTATTTCTTTGGATGTGGATAGCATTTTCCATCATGAGGTCTTTGGAAATGTCTTAGATCCTTGTATTGGGAAGGGTTAAGTTTATCAATATCAGTCATTGCACAACGTGGCTGTTACTGCGT